GTTTATGTGAACTCCTGTTCAAAGTACTATATATAGAGCTGTTTTCTAAAAGTGAGTGTGTGTGATATGTAGTAGTCAGTTCATATTGAATACAAATAAAGTTTAGTTATGCGAACAACATAATCAATCTAACACTAGGTTCCTTTAGGTTCCAGGGTCTTATCATCAATCTGCTTATATATTATATTACTTTGGTTGATTTCAAGTGATATTATTTTGGATTGGAATTATTTATTTGTTCGAATTCCAGTGATTGTTGGCTTACAGGTAACATAAACAAGAACTGTGTGTTTTTGTTTTCCTTTCGTTTGTGTGTTGTACTGCATTTCCTAAATTTTTAACGTACATCTAGCTACATCATACTAGCTAACTGATTTGTCCGAGTCTGATACGTCTCAATTTTCACAGAATCGTGACGCGAAAAGAATGTCACGCCATAAACTCTTGAAGGGGTCTGTTTCACTGACCCTGACAAGTGGCGATGATAAAATAGACCGTTGTGCCATAGTACAAGCAGTGAGTACAATTCTCGGCTCATCTGACACAATTGAGTTCATCGGCAATTTAGGCTCCATAAGAGAATGGTTTATGGGATTTGGTGAACCATTGTCACAGCAGAGGTTGTTACAGGAAGGAGAGTTGAAAGTCGGTACGCAGAGATTTTCAATTCAGTTACCGTATCAAGAAACAAAAATCATCCGGTTAATGGGAGTACCCACATCGATCAGTGATGATGAAATAAGTCAGACCGTGAGCCGATGGGGAGGTACGATTGTTAACGTTGAATGTGAAAACCTTCCTGCCCCATACAAATCCATAAAAACTTTTGTTAGACGTGTGCGCATGCGTTTTGCATCCAAAAAGGAAGAAGAAATGGTACCTATATCCTTTAAGCTGTATGGTTTAACTGTTCCAGTGCATCTTGAAGGAAGAGAAAGAGTCTGTTTCCGCTGTAAACAGTCCGGTCATATAAAACGTGATTGTATAATAGAATGCTCCTCGTTTACTCATACAACATACAAGGTATATGTTCTTACCGGAAGAGAATGAAATTTAGGGCTTGGGTTGACAGAACTCTCCCTGATGTTATTCTTCTTCAGGAATTACATATGACCAAAACAGAGCAATTGGAGTCTTTTAAAAGCATATTTAATGAGTATAACGTTACGTGCAGCCTTGGAACATGGTCGGCGGGTGGTGTCCTGGCGATGTCAAAAAAGAAACACCAGGTGGTGGATAGTGGAGTGGATCATGTGGGTCGCTTTACTTTCATCAAATTGGTTGTTAAAAATACCCCCCGTCGTTTTTGTTAGTGTGTATGCAATTAGATCTGGTAGGTACTAGTCCACGGAGAAGTATCTTTATTATACCTTACTTTCATATTTTTTAGAAGAACATGTGTTGCAATCACCGCCAACTGTTCCTCATCCAAGCATTACTCAGACTGAAGGTTGCTTAATATTTTCCTGTCATCTAGGATTAAATCAGTTTCTATATTCTTTTTCTAGATGGTAATGAAAGCAATATTATAATGGCTGGAGATGTTCGACAAGGTTTTTTGAATTATGACCAGGAATTTACCTCACTTCAACGGAAATGAATCAGTTATTGAAGTGGTTTGAACCTACTATAAAATCTGGAAGAGTTTCGCCTGGTCAGTCGTGTGCTGAAACTTTTGATTTACTGACGCTTATTTCTTTCATTTTTGATAAAACTGAACAATTTGATAAAACTTTCAAGTGGGCCCGTGAATTTTAATGCTTCGCCGGAAAATATGTACAAGCAGTTGGCAACACGAGTTTATACTCTGCTAGACATTGCAAACAATAGTATTTCTGTTGGTAAGAATTAAAACAGTCTCTGGATTACTTTTTTCGAAAATTAAACGTAGCTAGGATAGCTTTTACAGTTTGTGAAAGAGTGACTGATGAATTATTTGTTGCACGTACAAAAACAACATATAGTACTCTCCGTTTCAAAATGGTTGGCACTCGGTTGCTTTTTGAATAACTTTTTAACGAAAAGCGCTAGCGACTTGCGGTTTTCAGCATCGTGTAGAGGACGAATTTCGACGTTAGGTAAACAATGACC